AATTTAACTAAAAATCGCGAGCTCGACTCACTCGGGAAACTTATCCACGGCGAGTTTATTAACTCCGCGGACTGACATCGTTGTAATTTTAAATTATGATACTCGGCCGGTAGCTAGCGACCGTTGTAGAATTATTAACTCTTCCTAAGTAATTTAAAAAATAATCACGCTAACGAAGGGCAAAATAGCGCGGGGAGGGCAGCCTGCAGATATGATTCATTGTACATGTATAGATATATTGTACGGCGTATGTGCGCGAGTATGTACGCGGGTATCTATGTACGAATGTATCCGGAGCAATTCATTCACGCTACATGGAAATCTCATTAGGCCCAGATACATATAACAGGTACCTCGCGACTAATGGTTGAGTTTGAATCAAGCTATAGGACAGACGCTTTAGGCGGAACTTGATCGTGTCGATGTTCACGGTGCATGAGCCATGACGTACGTTTCTAATGCATAATAACCGCTAGCCACACTAGTTTAGCCATAGAATATGGAATCAGGCGGCTTAAACCTTTCTAAGACCAATTAGTGCTATACCCGTGATTCCACCGCTTCTAATTAGCATCGAACGAATGCACTAAAAAATATTCTTCCGAAGCTGTCGATCGCAATCACGGTATTTACGTACTCAATTGAAGATATTAAATACTCTCCCACGAAGATGTTGTTAAAAGTCAAATAAACAGGTTTTTCTTGACATTTCGAAATCCTTGCCAATTTTTATTTGATGCGAATAGGGCACATTTAGTAAAATAATATTGTTTTATTTCCTCTCGTGAAATAAATGATAGATTTTATCTTTCCTTCAAATTTGTTTTAGTAATTAAATTTTTTATTCGGCTGTTTTTGAAAAATATATAAATTATCGAGAATTCAAATGTAAATTGTTGAAATGTTTTAAACGTTTCTTTAAATTTTTCAAAATTCAATCGATATTTAGGTACTTAAAAGTTTCTGATTTATTTATACAAGGTAGTTGGTAATTTGTGGTGCGATCGAAATAGGATGATTCAACATAAAGAAATATGACGACGATGTAAAACAAGTCTTTCTATTAGAGATTCCGTTTGCGAGAAAACGCGGATTAAAGATTCGACGAATCCGCGTCCTATTGAATAGGCACCGCCTGGCGGGTCTGTTCATGACCGTCCGGATCTACTTCCGACTGACGGAATTCAAACCTATTTCTCTCGATAACGAAACTCCAAATAAAAGAATTTTGTTCTACATTTTCGACCTATTTTTTAATGTAGATTCACTCCTTTTCTGTTATACCACCGATCATCGACGAACGCGTATAAAAATTATTATATAATAACTCAAAAGAAGAAAAATCTGGATTTGTTAAATCAAGAAATTCTGTACGTCGATACCAATCATAAAAATTGAAAATGAATCGACCCGAGAAAGGAAATTTTGATAATCTTCAACTATTTCTAGTTTAACGACATGGATGACTAATTTCGCGCTACTCTACTTCATAGCTATTGATCACTGTTTTTTAATTACATTGCGTTATAACTCGCAAATTGTTTTTAGTTATCTAAATTCATTATTCGATACACGAAATAAATTATGTACTAAATTATGTACTTTAATACTATCGTATGACATCTATTACCAATTGTCATTGACTTTACTTAGTGCTCGACAATTCGTTTATCTTGCACGACATTGAAAATGTCTAGTGCCAAATGAAGTAGCATAGACAGACTGCGTAAAGAGTGTGTAAATATTTTTGACAATTTGTAATATACCATGAACATCGTAAAACATTTTGAACAAAGTTTGAATGTTGAACAAGTGCTGGAAAAAGTTCAATCTATATCGGCGGCAACGAGAGATGAGATAAGAACGAGTGTTGTGAAATATGGATCTATTAACAAACACGATTAACAAATTATATTGTCTCTAATTGAACGAGAATAATAGTAAAACGCTCCCAATTTCGGCAAAAATATTGGGAACGTGTATGGTCGATGAGAATCCTAGCTCGGTGACGAGGAATCGCGTAACCGGAGAAGAAGAAAGTAAAAACCAGAAAGGCGGTAGTTCTTTCGAACAGTCGATTTCACCTGCGCGTACAATCACCATTGTGCATCGACAAAAGATGCGTGAAGGAAAGAGGCATCCGCAGCGATCCCGCGGTTCAGGCGGCGCGGTGCGGCGGTAGCTACAGCTGTTGAAGAACGAGGCGTTACGCAACGCAACATGGTGGCAACGCGCGCTCGGCACATCGGGCTGGTATGCAGGAACTTCATTATAACCTCATCACTTCCTAGCGAGTGCATTCGAATTGAAAAACGCGCAGGCTTGTTTTGAGCTACGGTTACCGTGACAACGCTGGTACACCATCGCATACGTGTGTACACGCGCACGGTCCTCCCTCCTACTCGACGGTATGTTCTTCGTTTCACTTATAATGGCCAGGTTTTTTCTCCTCTTTCCTCCACGGATTTCAAGCTGTTCGCCGCCGCCGCCGCCGCCGCCGCCGCCGCTGCTGCCGCTGCCGCTGCCACCGCGCCGCGTCACACCGTCGACGTACATCGAAAGGTAGCAGGCTACGTATTCCGCGGGCGAGGAATAGAGACAAAGAGGGAAAGTGGAAAAGGTAGGACGAGCGAGCGAGGCAACGAGGAACAGCAAAGCAGAGAGGGTTGAACCGATGTAGGGGGCTATTCGGTGGTCTGAGAGAGGAGTGTGCGGCGACGCAGGAGGTTGAGGGATGGTGTGCGGAGGACGTACCGGCAACGACGACGAAACGCGGGCACAGGCGAACCAGTCACTATGACAACGGTGACAGGCGAGGTGTTAGTGCGCATCCGTGACCACGCCTACGTCACGATGTTGTGACGTCAGAGCGTCGACGGCAGTGGCGCCTGGCGTCGACGAGAAACGTGGCGCGCGGCGTTCGTCGGCCCTCGCCGTAGAAGAGAGAGGACCGCTGCCGCCTGTTGCTACTTTGCTACACGGAGGGTAGGCAACCCCGTCCGCTCTGCCCCTCTCTCCCGCCGCTGCCTTCACGGTCTCCTTCCCGTTTCCCCTGAACAGCTCCGTCTCGTTCTTCTTTCGCGTCGTCCGTCCTTTTCCTGGTCGCTGGGGCTCTCTGTGAAACAGGCCAAGTGGGAGAAAGAGGGTGCGAGAGGGCGCCCTCTGTTACAACCGCATGCGGAGTCCCGTGGACTGTCTCGCTTCATCCCGGGTGTTGTTCCTCGCCCCACTTTCGACCGCTTCTCTCTTTCTCTCTCGCGATCCGTGCCTCTCTCTCTCTCTCTCTCTCTCTTTTTCTCTTGCTCCCTCTCGCTTTCGTCCCTTCTTTCTCCAACTTTCCACTTTTACAGTACGCCGGTCTCCGTCCGGAGGCATCAGGGTCTCTCTTTCTTGCCGCGCCTTCCTGTCAGTTTTCGCACGGTCCTCTCGCTTGGTCTTTCGGCGAGCTACTCTCCCTCCGATAGTCGTGCCGAGCCGACGTTCGCCACCACCGCTGCCGCGCCGCTACCCTACCACCGATTTCGAGCAAGCAACTCCCTCGGTTTCTACCTCCTCGCCCCCTTTAGCCTTCCGGCGGGCATCCACCCGTGCGCGTTACCAGCCAGCAGCGATCCCCACGGCCACGACCGAGAACCGAGACCGAACGAGAGTCGTCGGCTCTCCGCCAGTCAGCTATCCGACTCGCCGCCACGCCACGCCACGCCACGCCGCGCGCTGCGTGTGTTTTTTCGAAATCGTGTCGCCCAAAAACGTCTGTGAAACAGAACCTATCCAGCCGTCCCTTTCTCCACGCGAGGTGGTCCGCAAAGTAGATACTTGTGCGCGCCTGTGTTCCCGTGCGCGGCTTGCTACCACACTATTCCCCGCAGGTCCTCTTGTTTACCCCTCTCGTGGCGGTGTGCTCTCTCGACAGTGGGACGAATCGTCGTCGAACAGAGATCGAGAACAGAGAAAAAAAAGAAACGTTTGACGTTTGGCGCAATCGACTGTAACCGGGAGTGAGACCAAAGGAAAAGGGAGCCGTGTCCAGTTGCATGTTATCCAGGAGGAGAAGGAAGTAAAAGAACGCTGGCCGGAGGGCGCGGAGGCGGGTGACACGCATGTACGCTACGCACCGCGCTTTACACAGCACCCACACAAACACACATACATACACCAGTGACGCGCAGCGGAGGAAGTTCGCAGAGCGACGCACGTCGCCGGCCTTGTGTGGTGATCGTCCTCGTGGTTACCTTCGACGTCCTTGTACCTCGTGTGGCACGTGTGCGTGCGGCGGCGTAGGACACCCATTGGTCAGCCACGCATATGGATCATAGGTTAGAGAATTGATACTCACGTTTACCGAACCGTTCCCGCGTCCCGATTTGCCTGTGGTTCGCTGACAGTACCGACAGTATTCCTGCTAGTCTCACGGATCGGGATCACTCGAGGAAGTTCGCGGCCGGAGGAAACCGATCGCGCGAAGGATCGAATGAATGAACTAGAGCGAGCGAGCCAGGCGGTGAGAAAGAGAGAGAGAGAGAGAGAGAGAGAGAGAGAGAGAGCGGGAGAAAGAGAGACGAACACGCGAGAATCGAGCAGANCACGGTCTCCTTCCCGTTTCCCCTGAACAGCTCCGTCTCGTTCTTCTTTCGCGTCGTCCGTCCTTTTCCTGGTCGCTGGGGCTCTCTGTGAAACAGGCCAAGTGGGAGAAAGAGGGTGCGAGAGGGCGCCCTCTGTTACAACCGCATGCGGAGTCCCGTGGACTGTCTCGCTTCATCCCGGGTGTTGTTCCTCGCCCCACTTTCGACCGCTTCTCTCTTTCTCTCTCGCGATCCGTGCCTCTCTCTCTCTCTCTCTCTCTCTTTTTCTCTTGCTCCCTCTCGCTTTCGTCCCTTCTTTCTCCAACTTTCCACTTTTACAGTACGCCGGTCTCCGTCCGGAGGCATCAGGGTCTCTCTTTCTTGCCGCGCCTTCCTGTCAGTTTTCGCACGGTCCTCTCGCTTGGTCTTTCGGCGAGCTACTCTCCCTCCGATAGTCGTGCCGAGCCGACGTTCGCCACCACCGCTGCCGCGCCGCTACCCTACCACCGATTTCGAGCAAGCAACTCCCTCGGTTTCTACCTCCTCGCCCCCTTTAGCCTTCCGGCGGGCATCCACCCGTGCGCGTTACCAGCCAGCAGCGATCCCCACGGCCACGACCGAGAACCGAGACCGAACGAGAGTCGTCGGCTCTCCGCCAGTCAGCTATCCGACTCGCCGCCACGCCACGCCACGCCACGCCGCGCGCTGCGTGTGTTTTTTCGAAATCGTGTCGCCCAAAAACGTCTGTGAAACAGAACCTATCCAGCCGTCCCTTTCTCCACGCGAGGTGGTCCGCAAAGTAGATACTTGTGCGCGCCTGTGTTCCCGTGCGCGGCTTGCTACCACACTATTCCCCGCAGGTCCTCTTGTTTACCCCTCTCGTGGCGGTGTGCTCTCTCGACAGTGGGACGAATCGTCGTCGAACAGAGATCGAGAACAGAGAAAAAAAAGAAACGTTTGACGTTTGGCGCAATCGACTGTAACCGGGAGTGAGACCAAAGGAAAAGGGAGCCGTGTCCAGTTGCATGTTATCCAGGAGGAGAAGGAAGTAAAAGAACGCTGGCCGGAGGGCGCGGAGGCGGGTGACACGCATGTACGCTACGCACCGCGCTTTACACAGCACCCACACAAACACACATACATACACCAGTGACGCGCAGCGGAGGAAGTTCGCAGAGCGACGCACGTCGCCGGCCTTGTGTGGTGATCGTCCTCGTGGTTACCTTCGACGTCCTTGTACCTCGTGTGGCACGTGTGCGTGCGGCGGCGTAGGACACCCATTGGTCAGCCACGCATATGGATCATAGGTTAGAGAATTGATACTCACGTTTACCGAACCGTTCCCGCGTCCCGATTTGCCTGTGGTTCGCTGACAGTACCGACAGTATTCCTGCTAGTCTCACGGATCGGGATCACTCGAGGAAGTTCGCGGCCGGAGGAAACCGATCGCGCGAAGGATCGAATGAATGAACTAGAGCGAGCGAGCCAGGCGGTGAGAAAGAGAGAGAGAGAGAGAGAGAGAGAGAGAGAGAGAGCGGGAGAAAGAGAGACGAACACGCGAGAATCGAGCAGACACGCACACGCGACCGTCCCCGTGGTCGATTCGACGAGTCGGCAAGCGGCGCGTGCCAGTAACCTGTTGCCGCCTCCGGGAACAAAACTCGAAAGCCGGTAATCGGGAGTTTAAGGATACTCTGATATTCCTGCGAAACTGCAAGCAGGTGGATCCGCGAGGGGCTGCTCTTCAGTGCCTATTGATCTATCGAATGTCCCGCGACGTTACACAAATCGCTGCGCGATTACGAAAATCTTCGCCCAGATTTCCGAACAGCTTCTCTTTGCCCATCGGATATCGTGCGGTTTATTTTATAACGCATTTGCCACGAGACAAATTTTCTGTGTTTCGTAACTTTCCGTAATTCAGGTTCTCGTTCGATTGCTTCGACAAGTGCTGCTCTTCTCGCGGTCGGAATGTTCCGCTGCTGCTCGTGAAATGTTTAGTATGAATTATAAATGAGTACCCATGTTGCTCGCTCCGTCGAGCACAAAGCTCTTTAAATTTGCAAAGTAGATTTAGGTTGCGGCGTTTTAATCGTTTTAAAGTGCTCCTTGATCGGGTTACAAAGTAATCGATTCGTAATCTAGATTTCTTCCACGGAATCTATCGCTTTTCGGTTAGAAATTGTCGCGTTCAAGCCGTTTTCTCAGTTTTCTGGTATACGAATCTCGAAGGGCGTAAAATTGTCAGTGTTCAGTGCAGAGTGGGGATATCGAAACTTACATTGAAGCGAAAAGATTGTATCCTCTTTAGAAAATGAAGCAATGTATACATGAAACATTTATCTAGCAATTTTGGTTTCTGTTTTTTCGAGGTACGACGAAGTTTGAGCTTTGCGCGATTCTGATCACGGAAATTCTCAGTTTATCGCATCGTACCCGGTTGAATACACATTGGACGTTTATTAGAATACGGAAATCACGGTTAGAAACGCTGTGCTGCAAAATATTTCGTCGCGTATACACGAACCCGCTAGAGAAATTGATACAGTGAAAATAAAATTTAGTAGATGCGGAATTCGTAAGTAACAGTTGAACAACAATATGGTCTACGATACAAGAGCTCACTGTTTTGAAATAATATGCAGCTGCTAAATATGTGCATATGATATTTGTTGTTCCTTGAGACCAAACCATTTCCAAACAACGCCGCGCACCTGCTCCACATTTAAATGCGTTTAACGCGTTCTGCTCCCACGTAAACATAGTTATTCATTTCTAGACTCGCATGATGCATCGCCGGCTATATCGGAAACGCGGTTTCCCGAAAAACGACGTTTTAGGACGGCTTTGTTACTATATTAACACATTCTACGCGGTTAATTTCTGGCAATTCCATTGGAACAGTTTTAGAAAGTCACTCGATTTAATTTAGCTGCTCATCGTGAAGTCTTCTATCGATAGCTTTCCATTAAAAGTCATTATTTCTTGAAGTACTGATTTATGCAAACAGAGATACGCTTTACAGCCGACGATATAAATTAACAATTTATACGATTTCTCAACTTTCGATACATTCTCTTGGCCAAATTAACTGGAGAATTATTATCAAGTACATCGTCTCCGAAATATGAAATTCCTCGCTGGCTAGTGAAAATGGTCCGTCACTGGTCGGACATACGAATGACACTCTAATTCGTAATACATCATCTTAAAAAATTATTGAAGAACCAGCTGGTAGATGCGTTGTTACATAAGGAAATTGTGGAATAGACAAAACTTCTCAAATTTTTTGAATCGAATGATTTCTCGTGCGAAGTTTCCCGGATTAACGCGGCAGTTACGTATGCATTGGACCAGTATTAAAATCGCTAGATAAGTAAAATCTATTTGGCTTCTGGCCGCGCGGACGTATAACTTTTCAGTACGCGTGTGACATTAGCTCGAGAGGCGGGCCGAAGTGGCTGGAATGAGGTTCGAAAGTGGAGTATGTGAAGAAGGGCCGACGTGCCGGGCGATATACGATATATATCTTTGGACGAGGCTACGTGACCGGAATCCCGAGGAGGTTAAAGTTGGATTTGTAACGTATTTTTCCCCGACGTGGAAATACCCATCGACTGGCATGCCGCGTGCACCGGCGTTTTGTAATTTCCGTCTCGTATCCCCGATTGACATGGGTGAAAGCAAAGATTTACATTGAAAGGACAGGATAGGCGTAATGCATATGTATTTATGCATACATAGATGCGTCGCGAGCACGTCGAGGCGAGCCTGTGTCGGCTTCGACGCGTACCGCGGAAACAGCTTCAGCGTTTAAAGCGGCTTCGAAGCGAAAACCGGCGGAGCCCGGCCCGATGCTTGAACCGGCAGCATCGAAACGCGTCGTCTTCCGCGACCCGTCGAACCATCTTCCTCCCTCGGTTTTTCGTTGATTTCTCGGAACGCGCGCGTAATAGAAAGCCGGGCTCGTAGCTCGCTCGAAGTGTCTGATATCTGCCCGCGTTTCTTAAATAATGCAATTCCCACTTGTTCCCGGAAACTGAACGGAGTGACGGATGTCGCACACTTTTCATCGCGCTGCGGGGGAACAGTGTCGGCCTTGTATCCTACATTTTCACGGTTGATTCTGGGTTTTCATCGCTCACGCAAAAAGCTGCTTACCACGATGCGATGCGATGCGATGCGATGCGGTGCGACCCTCGGGCGTTTATTCGACGGGCCCCGGCGTTACTTCGAAAGTTTATTCAGCGATGCGTTCTGCCGGCGATGTTGCATTTGTCGGGATGCAATGCGATCCCTAACAAGATAAATGAAGCTCGCTCCCCTGTTTCCTGGAGGCGGAAGCACGGGAACGTGGAGCATGGAGCGCGCGAGGGGTCCGTACGCCGCCAGAAACTCCGACCATCCCTTTTCCCTTGCCTCGGACATAATCTGAGATGTCATCTGCGGAGACAGTGTAGCGCTGTTCCGCGAATTACGTGGACATTCCTCTCGGCGAAGCAGTGACAGTTCGTTTGTCAGTTAATAGGTGATAAATCGTCGTGCGCGGGCTTGTTTCTTCAAACAAATATACCGCCCGCGGGTTTTCGTCGGCCAGGAAATCCCGTGTGCTGATACAGGCGGAAATTCGTTTCCGTCTCGCTGTACGCGCGCGGCTATGTTGCTCCCGATGATTTATGAAGTGCAGCTGCTGGTCGCCGGAGACGTTCCATTGTGAAAAGTCGCTCGTCGGATCGCTCTCGATGGCTCGGACAGTGGATCGTACCGGCCGGTGAATGAAATTTAATATGCGGCTTCGAAACGAAATTTTCACGTGCGCCGATCGAGAAACGAAAGTCTTCCGAACCGCTTGCTCGCTCGCTCGTCCGTTCGCTTTTCGAGCTAACAAGCTCCTCTGATTTCCGCGTTGCGAAAGCAATGGCGGCGCAGTCCTTTAATGCGATTCGAGACTCTGTCGTGCATGCAACTCGAGCACACGAACTGACGGAGGTCAGGTACTTTATATACCTTTGCCCATATAGGGCATATAAATAGTGTTCTACTCAGGTTTAATGCATTATAGCAGGACATTGCAGTAGGACACAGGGAGCGTGCACGTAACATTGTCGGAGAATGGAGTACGTACTATACAGACATACCAGAACTGTACTGAATTATACTCCGTTATGGTTCTGCCTCTGTAGGTGCTCCATGGTGGAGGGTTCCGGTTTCATACTGTGTAGTACTCAATATGTCCAATACGAATACCTCACCTTCTGTCTAGCCGAATCAAAAGGACGGTATCTCGCGTTTGTCGCTGAATGTCCCCAATCAATTGAATTCCGTATTCGGCCGCCCATAATGTTCCGAACCTCTCTCGAAAATATTGCAGACCGTGCACGTCGCGTCCCGTGCAATATTCACTCCGTACCAGACCTATTCTCCATCAAACTTAATCGCAACCTGCGAGCGAATATAGAAAATAACTAGATACGCGAAATCTCTTCAATTTAGCGTTCGCTGTTCTTCGCACATTTTTCTGCCATCGAGTGTATTCAAAATTCATGTCATTCTGTGGTTTTCATCGCGAATTAACGTGGTGTGCGCGTGCATGTTTGGGCAATTCATTTTATACTCTGTATTATGTATGCATAACTACATATTTTCACAAGAGAAAGCTTTTTATAAGAAAATTTCCTACAGTTGATGCACTCTATTGTATAGTTGGAATTTTCTTTTCGATTGCTGGGCAGTAATTTTTTCATACTAGAACATTTTACGCAGAAAGTTATAGTATAAATCTGTGCCTTTCAAAGAAGAACGCCACATGATTTCACTTTCCAGTTATTGTCGCTTAAAATTCTGATTCGTAATGCTTCATATTAGCAGCGTTTCTCCGTTTTCTATTATTCTTAAACCTTTCGAATTTGATTTCATGATTTGTTTTCTGACAAATAGGTAAATCCTACGTTCAACAGCTCGATTAAAGCATACACTAAAATTTATCGAAATTGTGACATGCAGCCTCTTTCCTTGCATCCACGGAGATGTGCTCGTAATACTTTGTTAGCTCAAAAATGAAGTATCGCATCCTTATCGAAAACGTGTCATTAATTTCGCAGCTGATAAAATGCTTCCTATTAAAGATACTCAAATTTGCTAATCCTTTCTCATCGTATGAAGAATTTATTCTTTTCGGATATTCTAATCAAACATTTGTAACTTTACAAATCAATATTGTCCTGAATTTTCAAAGTTTACGAGCACTTTCTACTTTCGTCCCAGTTAGTTTCGCAGCTACGCTCGCCATTTTTACGTCGCGTGCTAA